TAAATGTAAAACGCCACGTTAACCTTTAAGTTCATGATTTATCTTAAAGAAATGTGCAAATTCAATTAGATGTGGAAACCCGAACTCGCAATCAAAAAAGTAGACTTATTGCATCTTTCCCAAATTCATGTTGATTCATTCCCACAACTCCCTGGACTAATCGGAATTGTCCCTATATCAGCGTCGTTTCGAAATATCACCATGCTACCCTTTCGACATTTATGTATTTCTTGAACCAAGGGTTTTATCGCTGATTCTGGTAGACATACCTGGTAACCCAACTTCTGGGTCGAAGTTCCTGGTTTCCGGCAGGAACATTCCTGTAGTGACTCCGTTGTTGGTGTAGGTTAGAACCAAGCGCTCAGGCATGATGGTGATGTTATCTGTGTTGGGCAGGTCGGCGAGTGGGGTGCCGTCATACTCTGCGTACGCGGCCAGGTCGGTCAGGAAGGAATCCGAACCAACCTCGGCAGCTACGGCAGGGTCCAGTGTCGAGCCAGTGATCGCACTGGTTGCTTCTCCGTAATCAAACACTAGACAAAAATGACTAGATCAGATTCTGAATTTGAAATATAACACCTCTGCAAAAACACTTTTCAATATTACAGTGTGGCTGTCGTCTTTTGCTTCATTGATTGAGAGTGCAGGTACATTTAGAAATGATGTGCTTGTGGCTTGAACTCTCAGACTGTTAAGGTGTCATTTGTAATTTGCAGACACTTGAAGATTATTCGAAATAAGTGACCTTTCAACAACGGTGACAACAACTTCATCATCCCATACTCAACTACCCATCTCCATTGCCATGCACTTTTAAGTATTAAATTGGTCCTTAACATTTTATACGCTAGTATGAAAGTAGAATGGTAATGTTAAGCCAAGTACACATACATACAAATTTTTGTTATTCAAAACAGTGGTCAGGATAGCAGCAGTACATGTACATTAAAAAATTATGGACAGTAACTAAGTTACTGTAGGAAAGATATTCAAAGCCATTTCAAAGCACACATGTAAGATATAGAGAACATTGCTTACCCGTAGGTAGCGGAGGTGTGTCAGGACATCCTGAGAGAAATTAAATAAGTTCTTATTTATTGTGCTTGACTAAAATGGTGACAAATAAAAATCCTATCTTAGGTACAGTAAAATCTTAACCAATCCCAACGGTATACATAGAATAACATACAAGAAGATAAATATAAATATATTTTTTTCTTTGTCTAGAAACAAAGTAAAAAGTTTCCTGACATGTCCTTAATACCACTGGTAGTTGTGTTGTTCAAATACATGTTTAGTTTCAGTGATTTCAGTTATTTTCACTTACTTATTTCACAAACGGCAACCTGTCCGTCCCAAGTCCCGTTCCTGCATGTCACAGTGGTGCTTGCTCCGGAACATTCCCCGCTGCACAGGTAGGTGCAGGTATCCCCGTTGTTGAATGGAGCCGCGGAGTTGCACGTCACGACTGTACACGGTGGGTCGCTTGGCGGTTCCGTCGAACAGTCACCTGACAAGTGAAACAAAGTTCAGGAATATTAAGTACGCATGGGCGCCGCGCGCACAAAAAAAAACAACAACACATACACACACACAAACACACACGTACACAAACACAAACACATACACACACAAACACGCACTTACTCACTCACAGGCACACACATGTTACACACACACACAAACACACACACACACTCACATACACACACACACACACACACACACACACACACACACACTTACACACTCACTTTCTTACTCACAGACCCACACATGTTACACACACAAACATACACACACAAACAAGGACACACACACACAAACACACACACTCACGCGCACGAGCTCATACTTACAGTAAGAAAGATCCACTTCAAACGCGAACTCATCCGGACTTGGCCGTCCGTCCGCCGTTAATGGCTGTACTATAATCTCTCCGCTTATGACTAACTTTACGGTTCGACCGCTCCCATCGTCTATCTCTTCAATCTTGTTGACAGGTCGGCAAAGGCTTGGTGCGATGGGCTCTAGTGCAAAACCGCCCCCCAGCTCGGTGCGCACGGGGATGGGGCATTCCGGTCCGTACGTTGCGATGTCAAACTCCGTGGTGGCGCGCAAGTTGCTATAAGTCGCCGCCATATTTGACAGGTATTGCTCGTAGTAGATCGGGTACATTTCCATTAAAGCTGTGATGACGATGCTTGGCAGCTCGTCTTTAAAGAAATGCGAATAGAATTTACAATGTTTAATCAAGTCAGAAGAATCTACAAAACACCAAACTGGGCGGAAAAACAACGTAGAACTGGTATCAAACAATATCAGAAGATCACAGCCACTGGTAATGTCGATCTTATATTTGTGTTGAAGTTATGTACATCGACATGTGTACTAGATGTTTGACACAACTTAGGGATTCTAGCTTTACTTAGATCTGTGGCTCATGCATGAAAAAATCCCCTCTAGATTTGTCATAAATGGCTATACAAGAACTAAAAAAAACCCTAATGATTGAATTAGCTTTCAAAACTCGAAATCTAAAAATAATACTACTTTGATCCTTCCCCAAATGTTTCGATGGTGACTCATTTCCACTATTTACACAAGTCTCACTACTTATTGGGCTCTCCGGAATCGTCCCTAGTTCAGCTTTATAGAGTGTTTAAAACTTGATCTAGAAAAACACACCTGGTAATGGAACATCTGGGTCGAAATTCTTTGTTTCTGGTAGGAACATTCCTGTTCTGATGCCTGTCTGTGGGTCGGTGTAGGTTAGAGCCAAGCGTTCAGGCATGATGATGATGTTATCCGTGTTTGGAAGGTCGGCGAGCGGGGTGCCGTCATACTCTGCGTACGCGGTCAGGTCGTTCAGGAAGGAATTCAACCCAATCTCCTCAGCAACGACAGGGTCCAATGTCGAACCAGTAATCGCATTTGTTGCAACTGCGTAGTCAAATACTGAGAAAATACACGATAATGTTCTGCAGTTGTAATCTACTAGTAATTACTCTTTACGTAGAAGCTGTGATAGAACTGCAGGTACATTCAGTGGTGATGAGCTTCTTGCTCGAATGTTGTATCAGACTGCAATGGAATTTTGTAATTTGTAGTTTCTAAAATTGTATTCAAAAGAAACTAACTTGCAACTGCCCTAAGGCTTTTGTATGCAAACGTGAGCATTCTATATCTAACTAACGCTCTCCATTCCCATGTACATTGTTTTGCAGTAGTCATTAACACGCGCGATTGATACTTTAATAGAAGTGTGAAATTGTGCAGCTAAACAAAACCAAGTGCGAAATAAATATAACGTAGGAATGATTTTCGAAGCTACTTTAAAACATAATTGTATGATACAGAGAACGTAACTTACCTCTAGGTAGCGGAGGCTCTGGAGGACATCCTGAAACAAAAAGGGATAATTCCGTTACAATGTGCCTAGCAAAATCTGGGACAAATGAAAAAGTTGCTGGTGATATATACATTAGAATCTTAATCAAACCCAACATACATAGAATGACAAGCAAGTAAACATGGACCTGAGGAGATATAAAGATACAAAGAAAAAGTTTAGTGACAAATCATAACAACACTGGTAGTTGTGACATTAACGTGCATGTTTAGTTTGAGTAATTTGCATTATTTCGACTTACTAATTTCACAAACAGCGACCTCTCCGTCCCAAACCCCGTCAATGCATGTGACAGTGGTGCTTGCTCCGGAACATTCACCGCTGCACAGGTAGGTGCAGGTATCCCCGTTGTTGAATGGAGCCGCGGAGTTGCACGTCACGACTGTACACGGTGGGTCGCTTGGCGGTTCCGTCGAACAGTCACCTGACAAGGGAAACAAAGATGAGGAATATTAAGTATGCATTTATTTCATGTGCCTCAAACTCTCTACATTATAGAAGTCTTCTCTGTCTGCGTCTTATTTTTGTGTAAAAGTGGCACGTGACTTGGCAAGGTATGAGGCACTGTTTCAAACATTCCGTGCTCTTGAAGAAAAGTTTGCCATTCTGACAGCACAATTGCAAATTAATCATAACGAGCGCATACTTACAGTAAGAAAGATCCACCTCAAACGCGAACTCATCCGGACTTGGCCGTCCGTCCGCCGTTAATGGCTGTACAATAATCTCTCCGCTTATGACTAACTTTACGGTTCGACCGCTCCCCTCGTCTCTCTCTTCAATCTTGTCGACAGGTCGGCAAAGGCTTGGTGCGATGGGCTCTAGTGCAAAACCGCCCCCCAGCTCGGTGCGCACGGGGTAGGGGCATTCCGGTCCGTACGTTGCGATGTCAAACTCCGTGGTGGCGCGCAAGTTGCTATAAGTCGACGCCATATTTGACAGGTATTGCTCGTAGTAGATCGGGTACATTTCCATTAAAGCTGTGATGACGATGCTTGGCAGCTCGTCTTTAAAGAAATGCGAATAGAATTTACTATGTTTAATCAAGTCAGAAGAATCTACAAAACACCAAACTGGGCGGAAAAACAACGTAGAACTGGTATCAAACAATATCAGAAGATCACAGCCACTGGTAATGTCGATCTTATATTTGTGTTGAAGTTATGTACATCGACATGTGTACTAGATGTTTGACACAACTTAGGGATTCTAGCTTTACTTAGATCTGTGGCTCATGCATGAAAAAATCCCCTCTAGATTTGTCATAAATGGCTATACAAGAACTAAAAAAAACCTAATGATTGAATTAGCTTTCAAAACTCGAAATCTAAATATAATACTACTTTGATCCTTCCCCAAATGTTTCGATGTTGGCTCATTTCCACTATTTACACAAGTCTCACTACTTATTGGGCTCTCCGGAATCGTCCCTAGTTCAGCTTTATAGAGTGTTTTAAAACTTGATCTGAAAAACACACCTGGTAATGGAACATCTGGGTCGAAATTCTTTGTTTCTGGTAGGAACATTCCTGTTCTGATGCCTGTCTCTGGATCGGTGTAGGTTAGAGCCAAGCGTTCAGGCATGATGATGATGTTATCCGTGTTTGGAAGGTCGGCGAGCGGGGTGCCGTCATACTCTGCGTACGCGGCCAGGTCGTTCAAGAAGGGTTCCAACCCAATCTCCTCAGCAACGGCGGGGTCCAGCGGTGAATCGGTGATCGCACTTGTTGCAACTGCGTAGTCAAATACTAAGAAAATACAAGATAGGTTTTTGCAGTTGAAACATTTTACCTTTCTAAAAAAGCTGTAAATATCACTGAGTAGCTTCCATCTACTGCAGGTACATTCAGGGATGACTTGAATGTTGTGTCAGACTGTAAGGGATTTCTGTAACTTGCAGTCTCTGAAATTGTGTTCAAAAGAAGTTATGTTTCGATTGGCTTTATGCACTGCATACTTGATCATTCCATACTCAACTACCCCTCTCCATCGCCACATACTTGTGTATTGCAGTAGCACTTAACATGCACAAATGATACTTTAATATAGAAAGGTAAAATGGTAATGTTAAACCAATCACGAGCAAGTCAAAGGAAACGTAGGAAGGATCTTTAAATATATTTCAAAGTGCAAGTGCATGATACGGAGAACGTAGCTTACCTCTAGCTCTATCTATGGGTTCCGATGTAGGACATCCTGGAACAGATAAAAGGTAATTCTGATAAAATGTGCTTGGGCAAAATGACGACAAATAGAAACATTGTGTGTTATGTATACATTGGAATCTTAGTCAAACCAAACGGTTTACATAGAATAACAAGTAAGTGAGTCTCAACCTCTCTTTCCTTTTGATACAAAGTACACCCTTCTCCTTCTCATATCATGACATCGCTGGTGGTAGTAGTAGTGTTGTTCATGCGAACTTTAGTTTAAATATATTTAGTTCAGTACAATCCATAAACAAGGATCTGTCACCTAAAACCGTGTGTTGCGCTGCTTAATTAGGTATGGATAATAATGTTTTTACTCAGGTTTATTCTTAGCATGAAAGTTCATTTGTTTTTGTATACTTCATTATGACAAATGGCTAAACTTTATTTTCCAAGAATCCATAAAAACGCTTCCCTTCTTACAAGAGAAACCCAAGTTCGATATCTGCTTCTCTCTCTCTCTCTCTCTCTCTCTATATATATATATATATATATTAGGAAGATTGAGGTTATATATAGTTTGAGATTAGGAAATCTACGTGCTGTAATAAACAATTTAACCCAATTACCCAATTTAACCCAAACGTGACTGAGGCTGCATCCCCCGATGAATAGATCAAATATGTTTCTAGTTTGTTACCTTATTATCTATCAAAGAGTTGATTGAGATAATATAATATATCGTTTTCATGACTTCTAATGCAAAATCTTGTTTTGAAACTTAGTCACTTACGTTGGCATGTTGGAACATCATCAGTCCATGTTTGGTCCGCCTGACACGTCACACTAGAGGCTCCGTTCAGTCCATATCCCTCACCACAGGTGTACGTGACCACGTCTCCGTAATAGTACGGTCCTTCAGAACTCTGAGCTCCATTTTCTGGGGCCATCCGATATGGGCATTCCACCCCTAAAACCAAGAAACATTGTAAGGAGGATCTCCAGAATACAGTACGTCGTAAATCGCGATAAATAGATCAAACATGTTTCTAATTTATTAACCGTATTATTATTTATCAAAGAGTTTTTTTAAAATAATTTCTGTATCGTTTTTAAAGGTAATATCTTGTTTTAAAACCTAGTCACTCACGTTGGCATGTTGGAACAGGTTCGCTCCATGTTTGGTCCGCCTGACACGTCACACTAGAGGCTCCGTCCAGTTCGTATCCCTCATCACAGCTGTACGTGACCACGTCTCCGTAATAGTACGGTCCTTCAGAACTCTGAGCTCCATTTACTGGGGCCATCCGATATGGGCATTGTTGGGCTAAAATAGATGCAAACACGTTCGTTATCATGGAGTAAGATGTAGACACGATGAAACATTTCTGTAATGTATTAGCGAACATCTCAAAACTGATAAAGAATGCGGCAAGCATTAAGTACATCCATCACTAGCAGCAAGTTTGATGGTATATCGGTTACATAATGTCATGTCCTTTATTTTTTTCTTCCGGCTTCTTCGTAAAGATAAAATAGGATAGTTTAACAGAGTTAAGACAGTATTGAGAATCCCAAAGTCAAATTATTGCTACTTTAATCTGTAGAGCAAAGTTATTAGCTTTTAGTATTGAGGTTCTGCCATCCGTGTCGTCAGTACGATCGGCATTTCCGGCTGTCTATTCCCAGCCGCCCCCCCCCAAAACGCAATGGACCATAAAATATTGGTCATACAAGTTACTTCATGTATAGTAGTAGAATACTGACCTGTTTCACAGTGATATCCTTCATAGCCAGGAGCACAGTCACAGCTATAGCTGTCTTCGGCGCCGTTCACGCAAGTTCCGCCATTTTCGCAGGTCACACCTATCAAAATGGAAGTACTTTTAATAACTTGGCAATGAAAGGGTATTGCCATGCTGACGGTGTGTTGTATTTTCAATCATTCCTCGCTCAACACGTCAACAATATCCATCTTTCATTCTTACCAGAGAAACCCAAGTTCTATATATCTGCTTGGAGACTAGGAAATGTGCTGTGAACATACACTACAAATGTATCAGGTTAGCCCCTATGTAATGGTGCAGGGTAGTCGGCTCTAATTTGTGGATAAACATAACCCCTTTAACTCCGACGTAACGCGATATTGAAACCTGCAGAGCCAGAACAACCAGAGTCAACCGAATATCCGGACCTATGGCCTGAATTATTAATATTATCATTCCGACAAGCCAAACTGGCTTGAGAAAAGGCAATACACGTGTAAGTGCACTTGATCTTAGCTACAAGACCGAGAAGTGATCTACATCTGCTTGGAGCTCCTATGGCGTTCTGGTGTCCATAGCCACATTACAACTCCTTCTGGAAATTGAAGGCATAGTATACGCTATTAGGCTACTCCCATAGATGTCGCCAAAAAGAAGAAACACCTTTACTTTCAATGTATAAAATGAATTATCGTAAAACTATGTCTCACCACAACAGGGTACAACGCATTGGCATCCCCATACACCATCCACGAGCGTCCAGTAGTAGCCATAGGCTTCTTGACATGTCACCGTTTCACATTGGGAGATTGGCACAATCCCAAACAATTGCCCGCATCCGCATTCTTGCCCGTCTGGTGTTCCCCATGTCGCTCCAAGCTATAGAATTAGAAAGAAAAATAAAGTGAAGACGCTACATTACGATTATTAGTGTGCCCACACTTTATGTTAATTCATTTTCCACATAATTGTGCATTATCATACAAATGTATGTTTAAATATGTTCCTCTACGTATGAAGAGTTGGGTCGGGTTATGGTTGAAACAGGCACTCCTAACATGTACATAAAGGCTAACATAATTAGAACGGTGGCATACAGTACATACACTTACACATTAGCGATGAAATTGCATACCGGATAATAGTTGTCATAAATGTCTGTGCAACCACAGTCCGAAGAGGGTACGCAGTCCAGGTCACTTAGTATGTAGCCTGCATCGCACTCACAGCCTTCCACACAGGGGAGGTCACAGCTGTCTGGTGCGTTGGGGTTCATGCAGGTCGCAGGGCAGGCGCTCGTGCAGGAAGAGTAGACGCTGTTTGCTGGACAATATATAGCTATCGAAAAAAAGAGTTCGTTACAGTTGATAGATTGTTTAAGTTGTCAAAACAGGATTACCTCTGCGTCTATAGGAGAAAATACAATTCCGTCGTCATGTATAAATCATTTATAATCTACGTTCCAGTTTTTGCAACGGATGTTGCTTGTGTAGCCTCTGCTGGACAGAAAAAAGCCGATGAAACACATACTCTGTAAGACCCCCATTGCACTAAGACGGCGCTATCACAGCGCTCTTTCGATTTCAGCAATTTGGCCAATTTCATGTCGTAGAGAGAGCGCGGCGGGAGCGGCTAAGTGGAATGGGGATGTAACAACCGACAGACTGTCTGAGAAAACGAAACTTACGACAGAGGTCGGCCGACCGCCAATCAAAGGTAAACACGCCTGCTTCCATACAGCAGTCATAATATGTCTCTAAGGTCGGACAAAGGTAATTTTCCTTTGCACACGCGTCGGAGACGCAGTCGTCGTAGTAAGGCGTAGGATCCACAACGCCAATGCAATCAGCAAACGGACCGTTCACATCCGTAAGCACGTCACACGCGTCTGTATACATCTGGTCACACGGTCCGGAGGTCGGGGGTTCACCTGTCGGAAGGTCACCACAACTGTAGAGGACAGAAAATGTCAAGTTGCAATCATGGAAACGCGTTTTAAAAGACTGGTTCTCCCTCCATTCACAGTTTGTTGATTATGCTTTTGACATTCCACCTGGAAAACCGAAAACATTTACGTTCTTGCCTTACGTAATAATAACGCCGCAACCATTGTCGCAATGGATGTGCCTGGTAAATGCACATTTTCGGAAGTGTTAATGTTGATAAACCTCCTGCTGGACATCACACTTACGTTAAGTCCCACGGTCCGTGCTCTACTCCAGGCTGGGTCTGCCAGCTGTTTCCGAATTGGTTCTCGTGCGCACCTTGGTTCCCATCCGGCATCATCAGGTCATCGCTCGCATCGCCGTTGAAGTTACCGCACAATCCACACAGATCAGTCTCGTAGTTCCTTGGAATCTCCATCTGTAGCAGTGTTATATATGCATTATAATTTCTTTTCTAAGATGCTTATTAGGATCTTGACCCTTTTTTCGGTAAATTCATACACGTAAGACGACAGTCAGATGTAGCATAGCACTAGCGTTATATCAGAAAGGAGAACAAGCATAAATCACAAAGCAGAGAATCACAGACTGAAGCTGGCAGTACACAACGTATCAGAATATAGAATCCTTATAACTCCACAACATGCCAAAATGAAAAATCCCAGTTGTCTGTAATGTGCTCACCTTAACATAATGTACCCCATCGTAGTAAATCACCACGCACAAGTCCACCAACTCTACTCGGACAAACCTTCCAGTCAGATGGATCACGATGTCGCCATTTGCCAGGCTGACAGGAAGCCAATAGCGAACTCCATCGACCTTGTTTAAAAAAGAAAGAGACAAAAAAAATAGCACAGTAAAACTGACTTCGATGTGAAGACAAAACCTTAGTTCATCTTACGTTGCAAAATTTGTTCAAACATTAGCAGTGATGCATTTGTCATAGAGTTTAAGTGTGAAGACCGGACTAGATTTAGAACAAATTTGATGCCCCCGAATTATTCACTTGAACAGCTTGACCAATGGTGTTTTTATTTTATTTTTCAACAAATTGCCATCACAATCTTCTCTTGAACCAGCAAAACATTCACTCACTCACTCACTCACTCACTCACTCATTTACTCACTCACTCACTCACTCACTCACTCACTCACTCACTCACTCACTCACTCACTCACTCACCAGTACAACTCTGTCTTGAAGAAGAGAGATTGTAATTGTATTGCCGTTAATGGTTACTGTCACGTAAACTGCACGGATAGCAGAAACAGCTGGATTCCCGTCTAAAGGGACGTGTTTTGTTTCGACGTTGAAGGTGTTGCCTGTACAGTCCTTGGCGAACGTGTATAAGCCACATCCTTGGTAATCATGGCGACCCTTGTCAGGAGAAAGGATGTGCGGATCTCCGGATGCTTTGCAGATTTTTCTATCTGGAATATCAAAGGATGCCTTGTAAGAATGACAAAGTCATTGTACAAAAGCCTGGTACAAGATGAGTTCATACCTGTGAAGTATGGAGAAGCAGCAGTGCTAGAAACATAATTTGGCTTAACAGCAAACAAAAAAAAAACGCTCAACTACATCAATTTTTCACTAAGGCAACTAGAGATGCTTCAATTTGCACTAAGGAAACTGGAAGGGAAGCATATGTCTTACAACGCTCTCTATGTATAAGATACCATAATACAGATATCACAGTGATTAAAAAACATGTAATACAAATTAAAACCGACCACAAAGTGGTAAAACTATCTCTCACCACAACAGCCGCCTGTGCAGTGGCATCCCCATACTCCATCCACGAGCGTCCAGGTGTAACCTCCATCTTCATCACAGAGCACTGGGTGGCAAATGATGACCCCTCCCAAAGTGCATTCGCATTCATCCCCGCCTGGTGTTGCCCATTGTTCATGGAGCTTAAGTGTCCAAAAAAAACAACAACAAGAGTTCCTAGAACGCAATCCTTGGCGAAGAAATCATTTTCATAGTGTTTGCGATGTGCGCTGAAGTGTTTGGTACCCTCCATTTACTACCGACCTGCCAAATTTCAGACAAATGCATCAAATCTTGATTCGAAGACACAGACCCAGACAAAAACAAATTGTTCAAAGTCTGAAATTCTTATCTTAGGAAAGACTATGTAAAACAGCGAGCAGATTATTATTGGAATGAGCAGAGCACTTTGGACTAACGCCTCTAACCGCCGATTAGAGGTACATATCCAATCTTTTGTCAAAAACTTCTCTGTTAGTTAGCGGATCATAATGACCCCCAGCGGGGGTCTTTACGCTTCGTTAAAAATTGAAAAATCTCAAGATTTATTCCAAAGATCTCAATATTTAAGACGAAATCTTGAGATCTTATAAGACAATCTTAAGATTTTTCATGACAATCTCCAGATTTTCCGAAAGATCTGGAGATTGTCATGAAAAATCTCATGATTGTCTCATAAGATCTCAAGATTTTGTCTAAAATATTGAGATTTTTCAATTTTTAACGAAGCGTGAAGACCCCCACTTATGATCCGCTATGTAACAGAGAAGTTTTTGACAAAAGATTGGATATGTACCTCTAAGCTGTAAACGGTCAGAGGTATTAGTCCAAAGTGCTCTGCTCATTCCAATAATAATCTGCTCACTGTTGTAAGTAAGGCCCTGATTTGCATGGTTTATTTCTAAAATGTTCAACTATTCAACTTTCTTAACTTCGAAAGGCAAGAATGAATGTACCATCATTTACCATTACAGCTGAGAACGTACGGACGCTGGTTTTAATATTCCGTCAGAGGTAACTGACATCCTTTCAGGTAAATGTTGTTAATTTCGGTTCAGCTACACTCGTCTTTGGCGTTTTGCCTCGATAAATATTGGTATGCTACTCATACTCATACCAAAAATATTGTAAAGAATCTCTTTCAGATTGAACCAGGCTATGGTTGAACGAGTCACTCTTTTCCGTGAGTGTCCCAACTACTATGTACTTAATTCCAGCCCAGAAGAGAACAAGAAATAGCCATGCCTTCAAGTACCAGAGTTATCAACAAAGGATTGAGGTGCTCAAGCATTCATTCTTTCCTAGAACTATCGCAGAGTGGAACTCGCTGTCACTAAGTACAGAAGGGGCATTATCATTAGATAGCTTTAAACAATGTCTAGAGTTAGATGTTTAAGGGTTAGGTGTAACAAGTCGATCGGTGTAATGTAGCCAGCTGCCGCCGCGCCGCGTGCCCGCGAAGCTGGTGTGTTACGCCAAAGGGCGGCTATACCGGCTATACAGATACAGAAGCTGGTGTGTTACGCCAAAGGGTGGCTATACCGGCTATACAGATACAGAAGCTGGTGTGTTACGCCGAAAGGCGGTTATACCGGCTATACAGATACAGAACCTGGTGTGTTACGCCGAAAGGCAGTTTTACCGGCTATACAGATACAGAAGCTGGTGTGTTACGCCGAAGGGCGGTTATACCGGCTATACAGATACAGAAGCTGGTGTGTTACATCGAAGGGTGGTCACACCGGCTATACAGATACAGAAGCTGGTGTGTTACGCCAAAGGGCGGCTATACCGGCTATACAGATACAGAAGCTGGTGTGTTACACCAAAGGGCGGTTATACCGGCTATACAGATACAGAAGCTGGTGTTTTACATCGAAGGGTGGTCATACCGGCTATACAGATACAGAAGCTGGTGTGTTACGCCGAAGGGCGGTTATACCGGCAATACAGATACATGAAAGGGAGACAACGGGAAGCCAAGAAATATAATGAAGCAGAGAAAGAAGTTACATGCAAAGTAGACTAACGTACAGTGTAGCACACAAGAGTGACACTACAATGAACTTACCTCATAATATGTACCGGTATCAGGATCGATACATCCGCATTGGCTTGGTTCAACACAGTTTTTCTTACTCCAGATGAGGCCACTATCACACTGGCAGCCGTCCGTAACGCCAGTAGTGCACGAATTCGGGGCGGATTGATCCTGGCAGGTCGCAGGACAGCAGGTTGTGCCAGTTGTGTACGCGCTGTTCGCTGGACAAGGGCTGTCTCCCAGGCCTATCTCGGGATCAATGGCGCAACCTGCAAGTATAAAATAAAGAACGAGTTTAAATATGCTTAAAGAATTGTGTTTTGGGTTTTCAAAAATCTAACATCTAACTCTAAATCTAGCATCTAACAAACAGGAACCGGAAATGCCATATACATACATATATGGTGATGATTGGTTTATTGAAAGAAACACAATCTGACATAACAGCCAGACTTTAAAGATTTTAAGATCAATCAAATGGATAAAATCTCATCACAGCTTAAAATATGTTAACACATTATAAAATATCTACAGTTCCTTCAGTCCTTGTCATATATAGATACACAAAATCTGCTACCATATTTAAAACGTCCACAGTTCATTCAGTAATTTAGTCATTGCGGGGATGGCACTGGATAGGTAACGCTTAGTCAGTTGCTTGACATACATCGTGGATTGAGCATCGATATATCGCCCATAGCAACACCGGTGACGTCATAAAATGACGTCATGCATATTTAAGCTATCCGCCATCTTGGATCATCATTCTTGAATTTTGAAAATAGTTCTTTTTCAAGATAAAGCCTAAAATGCATTGAAACAAAACTAAAGACGTTCATATGAACCTTTTTGTGAAAAGAAATGGAAGTATTGATGAAATTTTAAGGAAAATAACCTGTTAATATCTGATCTAATTATGATGTCAGCCATCTTGGATTTTGGTCAATGACGTCATGATATTAGCATTAATCATAAATTTAAAAAATGCCCGTTAGAAACCCGTTAACAATATTTTAGGAAAAGTCACCAAGTTTGGTGGTTCTAGCGCAAGCAGTTCGGACGCTATCCGACATCAAAGTTGGCGCGGGCACTTTTAGCCCCCACGGGCTTCACCAAAATGTTGAGGCATACTAATGTTGCTTATTATAGATACTCTGTTGTAATTCTAATCAAACACTAATTGGGATTAAATAGCACTTCTATTATAGTTCAAATGCAAAACGATAAAGCTAAAACATCGAAATCCCTCTCACAACTTTCTTATACTTACATTAGCCTATGGTAAGTAATGTAGTTACGCTGTGTGAACCTTTCAGACACATAGAGGGATGTGGCAGATGATGACTTTATTTGGAAGTAACAATTACAAAACATAAAACTTCCTCACCTTGTCCTTGGACGCCTAGCGGCAGGACCATCAAAGTGAAGATCACCAACAACAGACTCAGATAGGCGTGAACACTGGAAGAAGAAAAAGCAGAAAGGACATTAGAAAAGTATTTGGGTTGCAGTTTTGTTGTGATATCCATATAATATGAAAACGGTTTTTAGGTCTCAACTAAACGCACAATGGCAAGTTAAACACATACAATAAAAGCCGCATTAGTGGTGACCTTTGCATTTCAGACACCTGCATTGCCTTTGTACTTACTTTGCCGATCCCTAAATTTTTCCCATTGACCCAAACATTGAAAATTGTAGCCTGGTTACCATTCTAAAGATGCCTGCTGAGGTCTATTTTACGGGACCCAGTCCTAAGTATATACCTCTCCTGGCATGAGAAAGAAATCTTTCTAGTCGACATACATGTAAAGGGTCAAATACACATGTTTAGTCTAAAAATAGCGAAAAAGTCCCAAAATACATTATTTCAAGGTTGTATATGCAAAATGTGAAGGCATATTTTCAATGTACCCATATACCTAGCCTCCTTCGCAGTCTTGTTGGGCGTCGGCGTTATTTTTGCGAGCGACGCGAGTAATATGCGGCCGCGAGGGACGACTTGCTGCCGAGGGAGTTTTTGCCACGGAGAGAAGGTTTCCCGCTCCAACAAGACTGCTTCCAATCGGCGACTAGAAAGGGCTATCAAAAAACACTTAGGAGCGATTGGCATGGATGTGTGAACTTCCCGCAATAAACGCCACGAGGGCAGGGAGGTGTTCACGCCCCGTTCCTCGACGAGCCAAAACTTGCAACTTACTAGCGGTCGCCGATCAACCCGTCGGTAGAACGCCAACCATTCCCGAAAACCGAGCCCTATCCACACAACAAAATCCCATAGTCATTGCTGCTACGGAAAAGTAAGAACAGACTCATAAGTGACAATCAGTTTGGTTTCAGGGCTGGCCACTCGACAACAGATGCACTGACCCTTGTTGCCCAACTCTTACACGACACCAAGGACAGACGACAAGAGGGCAGACTTATCTGCCTGGACATAAGCAGAGCTTTTGATCGAGTCTGGCACAGAGGACTTATTGCAAAACTGGAAGCCATTGGTGTTAAAGGAAGCTTACTAAAATTGATCGAGGACTACCTATCAAACAGAGAACTAAAAGTAGTCATTAGCGGAAAATCCTCCACCTCCAAAGCCATCAATGCCGGAGTCCCGCAGGGCTCCATCCTTGGCCCTCTCCTGTTTCTTATCTTCATAGACGACATGACCGAAAAGCTAAAAAAACACTGCCATGCTATACGCTGATGACACATCTCTTGTGAACATCATCAGGAAACGACAAGAAAGAACCCTAGCTGCCCAGTCACTCAACAAAGACCTTCAAGAAATCCAGACATGGGCAGAAGATTGGAATGTTCTCTTTGGTGCCACGAAATGCAAAAGCATGACGGTTAGTAACCTGAAAGACGTACATGGAAACCACCCTGACCTCAGTTTCATGGACACTATCCTCTCTGAAGTGGAAGAAGTCGACCTGCTAGGTCTTACAATTAGAAGAAATCTGACCTGGTCTCACCATATTGACAAAATGTCATCTGATGCTGGAAGACGACTCGGGCTGCTAAGAAGAGTCTCTCCATACCTGTGCCCCAGACAGAGAGCCACTATCTACAAAAGTATGGTTCGGTCTTCTATGGAGTATGCCTCAACCGTGTGGATGGGAGCAAGTGCTACGTCCCTTAGCGCGCTAGACGCCATACAAAAAAGGGCAATCAAAATCATAAACTTCCCTCAAGACTCATTAGATAAAATCCAAATCCAGCCACTAGAACAGCGGAGGAACGTTGGGGCCCTTTCACTCTTACACAGGATGTACCATCAAGATGCACCTATTCTACTGAACAGCCTACTACCTGAGCCCTATGTACATCGCCGAGAAACTCGCCTATCTACATCCCAACACAGTGCGGCCTTTGAACCTGCCAAGTCGTCAACCTCCTGCCACAGAAGAACATTCATCCCTGCTACAGTAAAACTATGGAACAGTCTCCCTCAGGACATTGTTAACACCAGCGACCTTCAGAACTTCAAACGCAAAGTGAACGCCTACCTCAGCGCTTCCCGTCAGCGACCCTTATAACAAGTGTTTATTTCGGCCAGCTGCTAAGCTGAGGACTTTGGTGACAGCATAGAAAAAAAAAAAAAACTTTGAAAAGATCACTACCACAGGAACCCGCAAGCTAAACTGTGATATTGCTGGGGGACGTGGACAGATAAACAAAGTGCCGCCATGTTGGTTTGGTGGCGGGTTGATCTCACTGGTCATGGGAGGGTAACACACCGCTCCGCAGTAAGTTGCGTAATAGAAAGAATTTCACATTTCACCAGCAAAAATAGTACTGCAAAGTTTGTCTTGGTTTGTTTGCATGGGATGCTTAAATATGCACAGCAATGCCTTTGTTGTGACATTACCAATGTTCACTCTTTCTCTGTTGGAAGAACTTGGAACCTTCCACTATAACGCAGGCTAATAAAACCAACCGTTGACAAAGGCGACCGCGTGTCGATTACCCTTGCGCAAACATGTGAATTGGACCTGCACGAACATGTTAATAGCCTCTATGAAAGGCTGGCTTAATCCGAGATCCTTTCTAGTCGCCGATTGGAAGCAGTCTTGTTGGAGCGCGAAACCTTCTCTCCGTGGCAAAAACTCCCTCGGCAGCAAATCGTCCCTCGCGGCCGCATATTACTCGCGTCGCTCACAGAAAAAATAACGCCGACGCCCAACAAGACTGCGAAGGAGGCTACCATATACCGAAGTTCAAGTCATTTGATTTGATACTAGTGAACAGGAGCCCAGAATATACATTTTAGACCTAAAATAGTGGGAAAAGTCCCAAGTAATACAATTTCAATGTAGAGAATGGCAAATGAAAAAGAACCCTTTAGGCATATTTCAACTTTCTTTTGGTCCTTCGGCTGTAACATTGGGGGCACACGGACCAAAAATGTACGTTTACTGTTTGAGAGAATAGCAAAAACATCACATTAAGTTTTGAGGGCATATGTTTAAGGCACCCAATACCGAATTTCAGATAATTTTTGTCGTAAAATTAAGGCACAGAAGGAAAAAAATGTACATATTTTGTCTAAACGTAGCAACAAAATATCAATTTAGACAATTTTGAAGTGGTATATGGCAAATTTTTCTCTTTTGATTATGAAAAACTTAAACTGTTCTCCAACTCAAAATTTTCTCTTTTGAGTGTGTGTCTAAGGTACCCCTATACCAATTGTCAGGTCATTTGCATATTAAGGCACAGGAGTTAAAAATGTACATTTCTGAAAAAAGCAAGAAAGGTCCTATTTAACACCATCGCCAAGTCGTGTATGCCGAACGCGTGAATGCAGTTCTGTGGGCATATGTCCAACGTACTTCCATATTCAGGAGACCAAAATACACATTGGTCTAATAGTAAGAATAAAAACAAAGGCCTGAATTAAAATAAAACAAAAAATTCAAAACGTCAGTGGGTATTTATTTGACCACTCTAAGTCCATGCAATTTCTGGTCATTTTGTCCTAAAATTAAAAAGAAAATCTGAATCCATCGAACGACATGACGGAAGGAAGAAGAGGAAGTAGTCTATGGAAAACAATATATTTTATACATACTAATGGTATCGAGTTAAATCGAAGTATATATTGGCATGTGACAACCCTTTGATTGTACATTTAGATCAATATTTTAAGTGCCTAATCGTTAGAAACCCCGCAAATAATTATATAGGCTCTTGTCTCGTACTTTATACATTTATTTAGATTAGTCTTAGTGGCATGATTGTTGTTTTGTAGAGAAGACGCCATACATACATACATTATACTACTGTCGTGCAATGGACTTTGCTTACCAAACAGGCTTCTACCCCCGCTCCCATCTATACTTAGAAACAACAATAACAGGATGCAGGCTATTCCTGACTCCTTCGCAGACTTGTCGAACTCTGATTGGCTGGGAGGAGACAACACCTACAGACCCGGGCTGTGTTGCAGGATGTCTATGTTATCTTAGCCCCTGTCCACACAGCCGACTTTGTCTATGGCCTCCCGAATACTGCCGAACTCCCCCCAACAAGGAATGGGTCGGGAGCAAGGCAGCCAGGCGTTCGGGAAGATCGGCAACTGTTCGGCTGTGCCAGCAGAATGTTTCAAATTGCTTCATACATTCAGGTGTGGACGGGAGGCTCGGCGATGGTTGGCTGGTGGTTGGCAGGGGTTTGGGAATAGGTTAAAGGTTTTCAAGACGTGTTCGGGGGTCAGATTTGACTTAAATTTAACTCAAATTCGATCCGATTCTTATCTAAAGGTTGGCAAAACGTAAATCTGGTAAGATCGTCCCAATTTTCAGCAAATCTTTGTTGGTTGGTGGTCGGGGGACGGTTCAGTGTGATTTGTATTGGCAACTTGCCATTGAGTCTAGAGTGAGCGTGCTGGCAGTTATTGTAAATATACAGGGCCAATATTCTTCAAACATCAGAGTGCCATCTAGACACATGCATTATTTTATTCACTCAGGCCTACAAACTCTATTCCACATATGCTGGCTGCCACACTAGACCGTCTGTGCGTGCAGGCAGCCCTCCTGGCATATACGCGCGTCGACAATCCCGGGTAAAATCCGACTCCATAAATGGGTATCCAGTCTCAAAGTCTGATCATTTTTCCGGCGTTGTTTGTTGTTGAGGCACGCTCTCGCCAGACACGGTGGGACAAAATGTATTTATTTTTCACTTTATCTACAAGCTGTCTTTCGAAACGTTTTCCCCAAATCTACGAGCAAAATGCTGCAATACGTGACTTACAAAACAATAGTCTCTTCCGTAATAGCCCATTCCACTTGACGGCGCTCTCGCTGCGCACTCCCTGCGCTCTCTCTGTGACCTGAAATTGGCCGAAGCGCGGAGAGAGCGCCGAGAGATCGCCAAGATCGCCATGTTTTAGATATAAATCACTGTTCTGATTGTTTTACGCTCACACGGCGCTCTCTGTGATTGCTGTGCGCTCTCATGGCTTATTCCCTCTTCGCTTATTGTTGGATCGCCGTCCTCGGCGCTCTCACGGCGACGGTATGAACCGGTTCAAAATAGTCAACGAGGTGACGGCGCTCATGGCGCTCTCAGTGCGCTGCCTGCGTGCTCCCATCGCGATCTCTCCGCGCTCTGTCCTCGCTCCAAACAGCCGCAGAGAGCGCGGTGAGAGCGCCGTCCTAGTGCGGGGGGCCTAACATGGCAAGAGTGGGATACGGATTGGCGCATTGCCACTGGAATAACAAGACCGCTGCGGCGCGTCGGTCGCCCCTCTGGCGCAGTTGGCAACCCCAGTTTTTGCCTTTTTTCCTCGCTAAAATCATCTATATCTTTGACTACATTCTCCAGCTTGTTAATGAAATTCTAGAAAAAGCTATGCTTTTCTTTTTAAAATTTCACCTGCAAGCTATTTTGCAGAGTGTCTTTCCGACCAGTTTTCGCCGAAAATTACGGGCAAAATCGTTCCTTACAAGTCCTGCACCAAATAGTATTCTGTTCCGAGCTCATAATACGGCGCAAAGAGACGTAAAAAGTTTGCCACACTGAGGTAAGGAAACTGTTGGGCGCGTCGGGCGGATTTGTTTATTTTATGTGGTGTCTGACCGTATAACTTTTACCATTTTTCTCTCTGAAATCATTTATATTTTTGCGAGATTTGTAGTAGAGGACACTGTTACTCTTGTAAGCACAACAATCACTAATACGACAGAACAACAAGTTCTTATTTCTCACTTCATCAGCAAGCCACTTTTAGAAGTGCACTTTTTATCAGTTTTTACCTAAATTACGGGCAAATAATACAGAATATAAAACATAGATCTGTGCGAGGTGCATAGCATGGCAAGGAATGGACAAACTTACCCCATGTTGACTGCTTGTCTGTTTCCTCACGACAGCGGGCCGACACGCAGCTCGCTATAGACAGGTAAGACTCAAACTGACTGCCACGTACGACAAACTTTCTCTGTAGTCAAAATGACTTCACGTGATTCGCAGGACCATTTCTATTGGTCAGTTTGAATTCGTATCCCATCATCACTTGCATGGGTAAGGCTACGTGGCGAGTTCTCTGCGTCCTTGCCCGTCACAGCACGACGCCCGAGTAAAGCCCCTGTCACAAATCCTGAACCCTCCCCCTACCACTGGTTGTTATTCTGTAGCAGTCTGGCCAGATTTAGGCCACGCCTACCTCTCTATAAGAATCGGATCGAATTTAAGTTAAATTTCAGTCACATTTGACCCCGATACGTTTCGGACACTGTTGAGCTACTCCCGAACGCCAGCCAACCAGTCTTAAACCACGGCCGAACCCTCCCGTTTACTCACGAACGTTTTGAACAGTTTGAAACATTCGGCTGGCGCGGACGAACTGTAGCCGACCTGGCCGAACACCGGTCAACCACAGCCAACCTTGCTCCCGACATACTCCTAACCATGATGATCGGGAGGAGTTCGGCAGCGTTCAGGAGGCCAAATTCGGCTGTGAGAGGGGCCTAAGACTACGTGACGAGTTCTGTGCGCGAGTTTGAACATATCGAGGTTCCATACCACATCGTTGTTATTAAGTAAACATCGACAGCTTTTTAATATCTCCCAGCACACTGTTCAACTCCCATCACAAGCAATTAGCAGCGTCGGAAGTCTGGCCAAGCATTTATTAAGGTGCATAATCTCTCCTTCTTAACCATAAACGATCTGAAGTTGTACATTGATTCTGTATTCTGTATTCTTAGATCATAATCCCCAGTCTAATGTATACAGTGCATTGAGTATCAATCTCTTTGATGATATATATAGCAGCGTCGTATGTTTTGTATACTTTGGTTTGCGCAGGATATGACATTAGAGGTGAGGGATGAATGGATATATTAACCCCCTCCACCCACACATTTCACAAGTTACCTCTTGTATGTATACAGGTGCACACTTCCTTATGATTGCGGTGTCTCAATATATCAAGAAGGTCTTGATACAAGGCAATGGAGTGCTGTTTATCATGCCCAGCAAAGGAAAGAGCGACAAAACGCCAGAACGTCTCCAACTGTGGCCAGGACTGCCATGCTAGGACAGGACTGACAAGCCACACAGGATTCTACCCACGGCCACAACACCAGATTGCTACCATCTCCTCTCAAGATGGAAGGATGCCTACTACTACTACTACTATTACTACTACTACTACTGTTACAGGTAGGTTTTAAATAGGGCAATTGAGCTATTATGTGTTTTAACCGTGTCCACATGAACGTGTGTTACATTTTGGGTTGGATGACAGGATGTTTACATTCAAAATGGAGTCTCCCAGGTTTTAAAAACCATGAAACCTTCATTTGCATCTTCATTTCCATGTCTTTCTCTCAGCCTTTTACTGTAAATATTACACACTACATATCTCTCTCAGTAAGGATTTCTACTAAACAGAAGAGGCAACGCTGCCATCAATTACTCTCCAAACAGAGGTTTTGGGTTATTTTGCTTTTTTTCGCGGTTTCTTTTGTGCACTGGAATGTTTTGTACCCAACGAAAAAATCAGTGCAGAAAAGAAAACCTAAAACCTACGGAGCTATACGAAATAATTTTCTTCTTCAGCTGAATTCCTGATTTAAAATTACGCTACTCGCCATGTGTTTAAGTTGTTTCAACTATTCACAGTTTTGGAAAGGTCACCGTACGTACGGAGATATGTGTGGTGTTTGACGTTAGGATCTTTAGTCCCATGTATGAATTATATTAGATATTCTTATCTCTTTGGTAGCATATATTTGTAGCCCTAGTATCATGACAACAGCGTCGCCATATACCCAAAGAATTGATTGCTGCATGTTTTGTATACTTTGGTTTTCGCAGGATATGACATTCGGGGTGAGGAAGCCAAAGGTAGATCAACCCCCCTCCCTCTAAATTATATTTTTTACACTTTTTCTGATGTCACCGTAGGTATAAAAATGCATATATAGAGGTATCGGCTTGTTTTTGACACCTGAATTGTGCGACCTTCACCCCGTGTGCATCGTGCCCTGTTACTGGTCGGGTGGGTTGTGACGACTGGAAGAACAACTCCCAAATATGGCGACGCTGCAACCACCATTATAAACACACGGACCAAATCACTGTAACAGAAACACGTAGAACACCTATGTGTACCAAACAGAGGCTTTCTAACCTTAAGGAATACTTAATCATTCTAAAAGACGTACTAATTTATTTAGCAGCAATTTTTTCATTCAATGCCGACGAAAAGTACTACACTACAGGACACGGGTTGTCGCGCGACTTGCCTCTTTCTGCTGCGTGCCTTTTTGTGATGTTACCTGTAAGCCATTGTCCATTCCGTGCGACGTTAACTGAATCAACACATGGAACGCACTTGCGGTTAACCACACTGAACAGTAAAATTCACAATGCTGGTAAAGTCCTGTGGCGCACATGTATCGTTAGGTAGTGCGGTGGCCTCTGAACCAAGAGGTCCCGGGTTCGAACCCTGACATGCCACCGATCTTGTGCCCTTGGGAAAGGCACTTTACACTTTACACGACTTTCCAAACTTAACTCAAGAACAACCTCCAGAATGAATTGAAGTTCCATGTTTGCAAATATGGCATGCAAACATCGACCTTCAATTCATACTGAACCCATATTCAGTCTGTTCGATATATATTTCCTTACATATATTAGGCAGACTAAATATGCATCCAGAATGAATTGAAGGTCCATATTTAAATGTCATATTTGCAAACATGGAACTTCAATTTATTCTGGACGCATATTCAGCCTGTCCGGTATAAGTTTCTTACATATATTTGAGAGACTAAAAATGCGTCTAGAATGAATTGAATGTCCATATTTGCATGCCATATTCACAAACATGGACATTCAATTGATTGAGGACGCATGTTCAGTTTCTTTATTAATGTACGTTTCCTTACAGATATTGGAGAGGCTAAATATGCATCCAGAATGAATTGAAGGTCCATATTTAAATGTCATATTTGCAAACATGGAACTTCAATTTATTCTGGACGCATATTCAGCCTGTCCGGTATAATTTTCTTACATATATTTGAGAGACTAAATTTGCATTCAGAATGAATTGAATGTCCATATTTGCATGCCATATTTGCAAACATTGACTTCCAATTCATTCTAAATGCATATCCAATCTCTCTAACTCCAAAGGCCAATGTAAGGAAACATATATTAGACTCTAATATATGTTTCCTTACATGGGAACTAGAAGTTCTGTCCTTGTTCTTGTCTATGGTAAACTACCCGCATTTCCTTTCCTTCGGTGTTTTATCCTTGGACCCATGAAAGGAAGCGGTTGTTCTAAATCGTAATTTTGTGAGGTCGCCGTACGTACAATGCACAGAGATGTCGGCTTGTTTACGTCGCCATGTATCGTGATAATTCTTTAGATAGAAAAAAAAAATGTCGGCAGGGTCAATGTACGCAAGTCAAGGTGTTTGACACCAGTATTGCGCAACCCTCTACCCAAAACGTGCGGTGTACCCTGGTACCACTCGGTACGTTAAGGAGCGGCGCCAAAATTAAAACTAGACACATTTATCATCATCAGCTCTACACCCATCAACAGACACTGACAACAATAGAAGAGGGCAAACCTCGCCACTAAAGGCCAAAGATGGTTATCATAGGAGTAAAGTTCAGCATGTTTTCATCGCGACATCATGAATACAGCGATTATCTGTTGTTATCACCCTGTATATGTATATGGGTGAGTGATAATACTGTAGTTTCTGTACCGTCAATGTAGTTATCATCGGTGTGTTAAGAAAAGAAAAGGCACATAAAATACGTTTCACTTAGGGACGACACTGATCATTTGAGACGTCCCTCCCAGGTGTAGGCCCCGAGGATCTACATAATTAGCGACGACAAAAATATACTTTAGTGGTTTAGGAAAGAGCAAAAAGACCTGGAAACATACGAGCACCTTAAGGAAACCACGTGACACCTTCGGCAGAATCATTCAGAACCACTTGAGACGCGAAGTGCGCAAAATCTGAAGTTAGTTAGAGCCAGGACGTCAACCGCGACAACTAATTACGACAAACACTCAAAAAGTAGCGAACTGGGCACGGCTAACCCTTGACATTGGTAATTAGACATAATTACAGCATCAGTGATCTTCAAAAGGCGCTCTATCACGAAGCCACCGTCATTATATCAAATAATGAGACTCAAAATATCAAACCATTGTCCAATTTCTAGACGAAGATAATTGCTGCAGACGAAGGGAAAGTCAAAGCAAAAGAAAATTATGGATGACAACCCCTGCAGACTCAAAATCTTATACGAAAGTATGAAAAAAGGAAAAGATTGGGGAGGAGGGGACAAGATCCCAAAATTTTCAAAATTGAGTCTCTCTCTTACGACTACAGAGTCAATGCTACCTAACTAGGCGCACTTCTACAGCAACACCCAAGGCATCGCCGGAGGGGAACAAAATTTCTTTCTCTCCAAAATTAGGCAGAAAATTTTATACTTGCATTGATGTGAGCCATGATATTTCCTTGCTGAGGCCTAACTGCAGTACCAAACGGGGAGCCCGGTCCCAAACCGGCCAGTCCGAGTCCAGCCGTCCTGCAGCGCGCCGCGTCTCCGCCGCTGCCGCCAGTAGAGGCTCCCGGTCCCGACTTCGTGTCAACATGGGGTGAGTTTGTCGTCATCTTGTCATGGTATCAGCTTTGCACAGAGCAATGCTTTATGAACTGCGATTATGAAAGAATTTTGCCCGTAACTTTGGCAAAAAACGACGGGTAAGCACCTCGGAGACACAGCAGGAAGATTTCGCAGTGCAGGTGTATGGGCTATATGTGGGGTCTTGTGGCGTAGCGGCAGAGTA